AACAGCAAAAATCACATTAATTGTTCAAAAGCATGCCAAATGCAAACTTTTACCTTTCAATAAAAAGTTGTTTGTATCATTGAAAGCTCTGTTATTGTGTTTCTCTTTTAAGACAAAAGATGTTAATGTATGAGTTGTTTTTTCTAAACTAAAACCTCAGTATTCAGGTTAAATTGCCATGTTGGCACTTTGTGATAAATAAGTGGGTTTTGGGTTGCAATTTGGGCACTCAGTCTCTAAAAGGTTCGTCATCACTGCCCTAGCATATATCTTTCGCTGACACATCTTAATGGCTAGGTGAATTAAAAGAAAAAAGATGGGCAGAGGAGCACTAACAGAATTGTACTTCCTCAAAATTGACTTCTAACTGCTAAAGAGGATTAGTCCTCTGTTTCAAAGGAAATATAATGCAACTAGCTGTCACCATGCAGAAACAAACTCTTTAACAACATCCTAAGTTATCACAAGTCAATTTACAAAGACCTATACACCCTATGCTGCAGCCACCATACAAATAACTATACTAAAGGCTAGCAACCTACTGTTTCAAAGCTTCCTTTATGCATCAGATCGATGGGAGGCCTGAAGAGGTCTGCGAGGGTTGTGAGTTTCTTGTCTATTGCTCCTCCATTCCTCAACTCCTGCTCCTGCCGAACTGTAGAGCCCCAGAAGGAAAAAAGCAAGTTAGACAAAACATTTAAAACACCAGTTGTCAATGCTAGTTAAACAAAACTTTTACTTGTTAAACAGGCTCAAGTCTCCCCTTTTTCAAACATATAAACTTAAGAGAGGGGAGAAAGAGAAGGAAAACAAAGCTTTGTCTTAAAGTCAGTAATATGCAGGCAAAATAATGGGATAAGGCCATCTCAGCACTGCATATTTTACTTAAAGTATCTTTCTACTTAGTGGCAGTCAGTAATGTATTTAAAGGAATTCCTCAATAAAGAGAGCTCTGCTGCACATTTTTCAGAATTTATTACAGAAACATGGTTCTTGGCCTACTAGCCAAGTATATGTTTAGATTTCCCATAACCTTAATATGAGAGCAGCATGCTTGTTTTTAATAAATAACATTTCAGTTTACAAAGAATTTCCAATTTAAGGAAAATGTATTTCCTCGATACAGAATACACTCACACACAAACACTGATTATGGGGATAATTCTGGCCTACCTCATAGACCTATTGCTCTATGGATGGCAACAAGATAATGCAGATGATGTAATCAACATTGAAAGTATGAAATACTAAACAATTATTATTACTGCTTTCTGAATGAAGTGTCAAGTAGTCTATGTGTAGCACAGCATAAGGAAAAGCCAGTGCTCTGATCAATCAGCTCTGCTTTTTAATACAACTGTTCAAGTATTATTGGCACGATTTAGACATAACAGCAAAATATGGGTGGCTGCTACATGAATGAGCTGAGCCTTGAAGAAGCATTCATAGTCATTCATGCTCCACTTTGCTCACAGAGAGATAAATGATTTCCTCTGTAGCAAACCAGTTCATTCTTACATCTACAGTAGCCAACTATGGATTCTGCTTTTCCTTCAAATCAGGATACCAAAAACATGGCTTGCTGTCTGATGGCACAAATGTGCCTGCAAACTTTGCCATGAACATGCTGCCTGGGAACAGTGCATAAGCCCTAGGATATGCTTGACCCATGGGTTGCAACTTGCTACTAGGAGTACTGAACTATACCAAACTCTTGGTTATCAAGTTTTGCACAGAAAATTCCTCCGCAGATCTTACCCTATTTGTTCCCTTGCCATAACACCAAACCACTCTTTGAACTCTGGAGGAGCTGAAAGGGCAGTCTGAAAGTTCTGTGGGAGCAGCTTCTGATTAAATAAATAAACACATGTGCCTACCTGCCTTTGGACTGTAGCCTACAACTGTTTTAATTTACCCAGGTACAGAAGAGAAAGTTGCCGTAACTGACAGAGCTCCTCTGAAACACAGCTGACCTCCTGGATCATTAAGGTGGAAAAAAAGAATACTGTTGCTATGATTCACTTCTAACCTATTCTATGGATATCACTTAAGGCTATTTACAGTGCCATCCTAAACAGAATCACACTGCTCTAAATTCATTGACATCAATGGACTAAGAAGGGTATTAACCCTGCATAGGACAGTGTTAATATTGCTTTTACATTGGTAACTTTATGTTGGTTGTTTTGATGACTTTATTGTATTGTTTTTATTTTGTAAGCCACTTACAGCAGTTTTCTTGAAAGGCAACATACACATTTTCTACATAAAGAAACTTACAGGGCAAAGGAATCAATTTATGTTTGTCGTTCAGACCTTTTGGTGAAATTATTTTGTGACTGTTAATGCTAACATTAGGATGACACTACGAAAATGCCTTTGAATGTTGCAATTTGGTCTTATGTAATATATGAGGTGAAGATTTCATCACAAAACACTTTATGGAGATGATCTGTGAGCTACGTTATCTAAAAAACGATATAGTTTTCGCAGTTTTTAAACCTTTTTTTTTTTAACAAACCTATTTTTACCTCTGTGCTAGGCCTAACATCACTGCAATGGTTAGATTTATCATGATTAAATTGCTCAAAAAAGAGCAAAAAAAGTGTTTGTGTTTGTACAAGCTTAGAGTGAACAATGGTACATTGTTCTAAGACCAAACTTTTATTTCAATTTAGCCACATTTCCAGCAAAACAAATTTCATTATTACATGGGGAAATGTAACATCACTCAAGGTACTGCTAAACAAGATTTAACAGAAGCTGACAGTCCAAATACAGATGGAAATCTTCAAGTAGATTTGTAGCTATGAGACCTCCTTCAAATTATCATGCAAGGTCCTTCATTAAGCTTCATTTGAATACTGGAGAAAAAACAGGTTGCTTACCTGTAACTGATGATCTTCGAGTGGCCATCTGTGCAGTATCACACATGGGTTGGATGCCTGCACATGACCTTCACCGGAGAACATTCCAGAGCTTGCCTCAGGAGTCTTTTTGGTGGGCTCTCTTCCCGCCCTGGGGAGCAGGCACGCACTGCGCATGCCTGGAGTGGGAGAGCCACCTCCCACTCAGTTCCTTTGACCGCTACAGGTAAGTCCCATCAACTCAAGGTAAGTCAACAGGAGATGCCAGCAGTGGGGAAGGCTGGGTGGATTGTGGTACTGCACAGATAACCACTCGAAGATAATCAGTTACAGGTAAGCAACCTGTTTATCTTTGTCATGGTCTCTGTGCAGTCCCACACATGGATGATTACAAGAGCTGAACCGGGTGGAGGAGGGAGCTGGCAGCTGGAAGAGACAATAAACAGGTTAGGACATAGCAGTATGATTTCAATTTATAGGTCCTACCTGGAGAAGCAGAAGCATGAGGTGAAGAGCGATCGGAGCACCGCCTGGCCAAATGCAGCATCTCGTCGAGCTCGAACATCAAGTGCATAGTGGGACACGAAGGTCGATGTTGAGGACCACGTAGCTGCAGCACAGACGTCTTCCAACGGGACACCAGCTAGGAAGGCCGTAGAAGTTGAAACTGCTCTTGTGGAGTGAGCAGTGATACAGGCAGGTACAGGTTGGTTTGCCAACTCATAGCAAAGGGCTATGGTGGAGGTAACCCATTTTGACAATCTTTGAGAGGAGATCGGCTCACCCTTGGACGGGGAAACATAGGCAACAAAAACCCTTGGAGACTTTCAAAAAGGCTTTGTTCAATGGAGATAAAAGGAGAGTGCCCTCCGAACATCGAGGCAGTGCAAGGCTCTCTGAGGTGCATCAGCTGGGTTCGGAAAAAAAGTAGGTAAAACAGAAGACTGAGATAGATGAAAGGCAGAAACGACTTTAGGTAGAAAGGAAGAATCTGGCTGGAGAACGTTTTCCTTGTGGAAAATTGTATATGGGGGATCTGCATGCAAGGCAGAAAGTTCCCCTACCCGGCAAGCCGTAGTAATAGCAATTAAAAACACCGTCTTCCATAAGAGGAGTCGAAAATCCGCCGAAGCCATCGGTTCAAACGGCTTAGCTATGAGTTGCGTCAAAACTAGAGACAAACTCCAGGAAGGCACAAGCAGCTTCCGAGGCAGGCAGACGGAGCCCCTTAAGGAAAGACTTTGTCAGGCGGTGTGAAAAGACAGTAGAGCCCTGTATTAGGGGGTGATATGTCGAGATGGCAGCCAGGTGTACTCTTAGAGAAGAGTATGCAAGGCTGGATTCCTTCAAGGACACGATGTAGGAGAAAATCTCCCGTAGAGAAGCGTGGGTCGGATCGAAGGAGCGTTGCAAGGAGTGAGACTGGAACCTCCTCCACTTCAAATGATAGGTATTGCGGGTAGTTGGTTTCCTTGTGTTAAGCAATACATTTGACACCTCAGGTGGGAAGTCTACTGTAGGATCTTCCACGCCGTCAGCCTGAAGGAGGTCGGGTTGTGGTGAAGGATATGGCCTCGATCCCTGGACAGAAGATCTGGCACATGAGGGAGATGACGGAACCGTCCATTGGAGAGATGGAGGAGGTGCGGGAACCACACTTGGCGTGGCCACCAAGCGGTGATGAGGATACAGGAGGTGGCATCAGCCACAATATTTTGAAGCACCATGGAGATAAGAGGAAATGGGGGGGGGGATAAAATAGGGTCCCCATCCATCTGTGAAGGAACGCACCTCCCAGAGACTGGGCGGACGGCGGACCTTGGATGAAGAAGAGCTGACAGTGGGCATTCTCCAAGGTGGCAAAACCGTCGACAGTCAGGCGACTGAACTCGAGGAAGACTGGTTGTAGATTCCAGAGATGGAGGGACCATTGGTTGTCTTGTGGGACTGAGTGGCTCAAAAGATCAACGTCTACATTCTGAACGCCAGGGATGTGTATAGCGGACAGCATGACGGAATGATGAAGACATCAGTTCTAAAGGCAGATTGCTGCTGTACAAAGGCGAAGAGAAGCGGTGCCACCTTGTTTGTTGATGTAAAAAACAGCCGTTGTCCGAGGCAACACGGACAACCTTGCCTTGTATGATCGGGAGGAAGGACCTTAAGGCGAAATGTACTGTTCAAAGCTCCAGGAAGTTGATGTGAAGAGCGCTCTCTTGAGGAGACCAGATCCCCCTGGCAGACAGCGTCCCACATTGGGCTCCCCAACCCCAAAGGGATGCATCTGTGGACAAAGAAATCTCTGGAGACGGATGTCAAAAAAGCATGCCAGCAAGGAGATATTGCGGAAGAGACCACTATGACAGGGAGGTCAGTAGGTGCGCCGGGATCGAGAGCTTCGTGTGCCAAGGACTCGATACAGGATCGAAAACGTGAAGGAACCAGAGCTGAAGGGGGTGCATTCTGAGCCTGGCATTTCAAACAACAAAGACAGTGGATGCGAAGTAGCCCAGGAGCCTCATGACTGACCGAGCTGATTGCTGGGGACATCTGGTGAATGTGGACACCAGAGTGATTATGTCCAAAGCCCTGGAGTCCGGCAGGAAGGCAGTCTTGGTGGTGGTATCGAGGTGGGCTCCTAAGAATTGGAGAACTTGAACAGGTTGGAGTGCAGACTTCAATAGAATGACGCACAGACCTAAGGTGTGGAGAAGGGCAAGAGTGGAGTGAACGTCGTAGTGAAGTTGAGTCTCCGTAGGAGCCACAAGAAGCCAGTCGTCAATATTGT